CTTGCGCTGTTATTTGGAGATAATGCTGCTTTCATGTGGAATGACAAATATTGTAGGCAGAGTATGGATTTATTTTCGTTTATACCGAGATCGTTTGTATTTCACCCTCGGAGCCCCTTCACTGATGGGTGGGGCTAAAACTGATATTCAAATAAAAGGAGAAGGGCTTTCCAATTCGAAATCTATGATTTTGTAAGGCTTATCTTTTTTTCTTCATGCAGAGCATGCATCAAGGTGGTATTGGGGCGACTCGTTGGCTTGTCTCGTGCCCTCTCTGCCGTCGTGATGTCCACTTTCTCCTACCCCTGCATCGGAACTACGACCCTGAGTGTCCGGAACTGCACTCGTCATCACAGTTGAAGGCAATATCCTCGATCCGGCCTCTTGAAGGAGCTGATGTTAGCGAAACGGGGAAAACTTCCTATGATGCTGCTGCTATGTCCTCCATGGTGACAGAAACAGCGGCACAACAACTTACTACCTCATCAATAGCTGAAGGTGGTTCTGCTCCTCCTTTGTCTCTTGCTCCTTCTGCTCCTACCAAGACGTTCATCCAGCGTCTTCGCGAAAGACTGGTAAGTTCAAAATTTGCTTAAGTTGGCTATTCTTCTGTTTCACTTCTGGCAATTGATTGGGAGATTTATCTTTGCTTTAATGTAGGCAGCTCTTCCCACTGAGTCACACAGTATCTGGACGAATGTGGTGGGAGCTGGGGAAGACGATACGCATAATCGCTACAACCTAATAGCCACTCTCTTTGGGGATTGCAGTGAAGTGTCTATCCTCCTTCGGTATGTCACTTTCCCCATTCAATACTTAAATTTACTAACCCTCTTTGTGTCGATTTGGTTTCATCAACAGTGGAACAATGTTGATCTTGCCTGTGAGTGTTAGTACCCATCATTCAGCATCTACGACCTCTTTAATTTTATCTGGAGTCTTGGTCACTGTCTCCGCTAAATTCACTAAAGTAGTTAGGGCCATCTGTGGAGGTTATTTGATCGATGTGTAACGCTAGCAACGGAAGCTTACTGCCTATTTTTTATTTGACTTTTAATGCAAATATTTCCCTCCCCTCGTTCATTGAACACATCTTCACCTATTTTTGGTTAGTTCACAGTTGGAGTCGGAACTGTCAGTTCTCATGGTGTACCCGACGCTATATCAAGGCGTCTCTCGACGCTGTCTTTTTAGTGAGTTTCATTTTGATTGCAGTTTATTCGTCATCTCGTACTTCCCGAAATCGTCACCTAGTTGTGCCTGAGCTTGATTCTTTATGTGATTTTAGTTTGCGTTACAGTTTTTACTCAGCACTAATCAACCATTCATCTTCTTAATTTTCATAATTTTGCCTTTCGTAAATGACTACTATCATTATTAGAGATGTTGTTTGCGACGAATTTATGACCGATCCCATTACGCTAATTTAAGCTCTTTGCCTTAACATACGCTCGCAGTCCTCGAGATTGCAAGTTTCCTTCACACATCACGTGCCATAAAAGCGATCACGAATTCATCCTCTCATTTTGCAATGAAATTTTCCCACCTTCCCACCCACAAACAGCCCTAAAGTCCTCCTGCTTTTTTTTCCTAAGGGGAATTGCTGAATTACTTGCGCCGTGTCTACCGTTCTCCCTCAGAGCTCTTATCGGTGGTAGACTCACTTACTCTGCGATCGGTTGCGGATTTGAAATCGACTCCATCCAAGTTTGCAATTTGTGAATGATGTTTCGTTTGTTTAGATTAAAGAATTGTCATCTACTCCTATTCGTCCTTTTTCAGCTCATCCATTCCCCTCACATTTGCCATTTTTAATGATCCGGCGGACGTTCTCATGATCCTACTGCCTCATGTCTGGCCGAATGAAGGTCCGTTTTGTTGAACAATTCATTAACCCTATTAAAGGATGCTTGATTGATCTCTGGAGTTGTCTCACCTTTTGATTAATGAGTCTGAGTATTGCAAATAATCCAGTGCACTTATCATACACAGAAACAACACGAACAGACTAGCCCGTCGCCAAGGTTTGGTGTGTAGAACCTGTTACATAGTAGAAGTAAAAGTCGTTCTGGTCGGACACTCCCGAATCCAGGATCTATGACAACGAGTTAGGTGGATCAGTGATGCTAACAGCCTATGGGCTACGGGTTCTTGAAAGTGAAAGGAACGAGCCTTACCGATTCTCTTTGTTTTGTTGTAGAGCACTTTTTGGCGCTCGGTTCGGCGTGCATTTGTTTGGCATACGCGCGGGCCCTCGTAGGTCTCATCCTTGGCCAATTGCCCACCGGCAAAAGCGGCTCTTACACATATTCACAACGTACTTCTATCCAGTGCGCTCAGGAACGTATGAAGAATGTGAGGTTTTTTTTCTATCTTATTTCATTGTGCTTGCTAAAGTAATCCTTAATTTGACAAGTAAAGTGGCGCCTCCTGATTGGTGTGCTGATTTAGTAACCAATTGATCGCGTCGGTTTGGATCTTCAAGAATAAAACCTGATAGCATCCACCCCTGTCATTGTTCTTGACAGAATTGGTTGACAAATTTGACTTATAAGCGCTTTGGTGAGAAGAACATATGAAACTTTACAATTTTACTCTATTCTCACGTTAAATGAGCTTCACCGCAGGCTTGGAAGCTGATCAGCTCAGGCTGTATCACGAATTCGCTTCTTTTTTACTTTCAAACAGTCTTTTCTATCCATGAAGACCTCATTTTAAAGTGGTTTCAGTCGAATAATTGTCGCCTTGAGATGGTGTTGATGTTTTTTACTTGTTTATCTAATTTAGGCTCCTACCGATCATTTCGTATTCTAAATTCTCGGCCCTCTAATTTTCCGTCAGTAGATTAAAAAGGGATAATGCTATTGTGCCTCTTAATCTTCTTTATAAATAGTGGTGTATGCGTAGATCTTATGAAATGCAAGAAACAGATGAAAAGCTGTATCTGTGACCTGTTTCCCTAATACTTTCGTCAAACTACGTGATTCCACTGCTTGGTGCGTAGGAAATGTGGATGTGAGGACGCCATAGATAATGGACTTATCAATAGGCTTAAGTTTTGTCATATGTCTTTTGACAGTACGCTTTGCTTCCTCATCTACTGCCTTCCTTTGCTCTCCCTTCGTGGCTTCCTTTAATTAGTATTTAGCAGCTTGAAATTTCTCGCAATTGTGAAATTGGACCGAAATCCGAATCTGATCTTTCGTTTTCCAAAAGGCGGTTGTCCGATGCCTTACTGGTCGTTCGCCAAACTCTTTGTTCAAAAGTATTTAAGGGTTATTGGTCTCCTCTCATCTTATCTGTTCTTTCTTCCCCTTGTCCGTAGACGACGAATTCAAGATGTGGACAGGGTATTCCAGCAGTAGTAGCCTGATGAGGTATCCCTTCTTCTTTGCCATTAAGTTGGTCTTCCAATGAATTGTATATGGTTACCACTTCTTTTGCTTCATTCCTCTCCCGAGATTTAACCGCTAGAAAATAGACAAAAAGGTAAAGGGAAGAGATCTTTTGTCGTTAGCAAACTAGTATATGGCTGCCTTGGGCTTGCCATCATTGGTAGTCTGTAAGTGTTCAGTAAATTAAGTGCGTAAGTAACTTGTAAGCCGAAATTTGTCTAATTTTCCTTCTCCTAGTGCATGTGCTGTATTGAAGTGGTCTTATTTGCTCTGCCCGCTTTCGAAGCGGCCTATGTTCACTACTAGGTGATTGCATCACAGGTGGGAATAATATGGACTTTGCCAGATATTGAGCTCGTCTATACGAAGGCGCAGTCAGACCTATTTACTGGTTTGTCTTCTGCTAAAGGAAAAGCATTAGCAATTCAGTAGTATGTTTGTGACGAAATTCCATCCCTCCTCCATCTCTTCAGATCCCAAGTCCATTGAGGACTAACGTGCTAGCTATGGCCACGTACCTTGAACAAATGTTGGATCGTATTTCACCTAAAGGCGAAAAGGATGCTTCGGCCTCCAACCTTTCTACTTGTGCGAGTGTGCCCACTGACCTCGAAATCGCAGCCAGCCTGGATGTGGTGCAATTGAATGCACCTCCCCAGGAGGTAGGAAGGCAACTGCAGGACCACTTGGTGATGCGTATTCTGCCCACCGTGCGTTTGGTCGCTCTCACTCTTGCCCGCTGGCGTGACAGCCTTCACATTCATGATGACGACTGCTCTGGACCTGTGGTGGCGCTCTCTTTACCTTTTGTGGGTATATTCGCCAACCCCAAGAAAACTGAGCCAGAGAAGGTGAGACATGGTACTTGCAATGATCTAGTCGTCCTTTGTTTGTTTGCTACGGCTTGTCATAAATCTGGAAACTTCGTTTTATTTTCAGGGTCAACTGGTTAAGGAATTCCTCTCTCTAGTCGGCTTCATTGGATTGGGTTGCTCGGATCCATCCATCGATGAGGAACAGGATGATCCCATGCTTGGTGTTGGTCCTCTACTTCCCTTCATGCAGTCAGCCGCACTTCGTTCAGGTCTCACAACCCATCTAGACGGTGCAAGAGCCTTGGATGAGTTGCTGCAACGATGGATCGCCCAGATTACTTCAGCGGCTGCCTTGGAGAAAGTGGATCTGAAGTCCACCAGTCCATCGACCGCGGTGGACGGCTCCACTCTCAAAACCTCTTCGCCATCTCCCGTTGTTCCTCCTCCTCCTCCACCGCCACCACCACCACCACCGCCCTCTCGTCATGCTCTTCGACCGGTCTATCCTTTTCAACCAAGGAGTCTGCGAGGCACTCAGTACCTTGTTCCACAGCAGAGTTCGAGCGCAGTTGGACCCAAAGCCACTTTGTCCAAATGGGTGCAGAACTTGGGGGTATGTGAGGTTTATATTATCTTTGGCTTCATAAATGTACCGTTTGTGTTGTCGGTTAACTTAATTTTTTATATGCAATCTGAATTTTTTTGTGTGTGTTGTTTAGTGTAGCTCTTCTTCTACTTCTCTATTTTGTAGCCCATAATGGCAATTGGGAGACAACTTTACCCACCACGACTAATTCGGCCGCCAGAGGCGTTCGATGACCTATTCAATAATCTCCAAGTTGTGAATTGCGCCACCTCGAGACATCCCTTTCAGAAGAATGTCCTCTGCCTCATTTGTGGCCAACTGCTCTGCGATATTTGTTTTCCCAATTTGTCTCAACTACTCTTTCAGGTAGACGTCGGATCTCCTTTTCTGCCTATTCTTCACCCTGTTTGCATTGTCACCTCTGCTTTTCTGCTCCACAGCACGCGATTCGTTGTGATGGCTTTGTGGGTGTAGCGTTAGAAATCAACACTTCTCTGGTTCACGTCTCCTTGGGCACGAGTTTATGCGAATGGGGCTCCATCTACTTAGACTCCTACGGTGAAGAGGATCTTGATTTGAAGTATTTCATTGACCTTTTCTGCCTGCCCATCTTGTTGCAGTGTCTGTCCTTACCCAGGCTTTCATTTTAGACGAGGGAAGCCGCTTTTCCTCAACGAAGACCGATTCGCGTTGCTGGAGAGCCAGTGGATGTCGCACTCGTTTCGGCATGTGCTGAAGCCCTGGCGTCACTACTAGAGTGAAACAACGGCAGTACACATGCAAACTTAATTGGCCTTTCAACTAACACGTCGCCGCCACCAAGACAACTAGGGAAAGGAGAAAAAAATAGTTTACGTGACACCTTCCTCATCCCTTTCCCCCAAATTTTACTTTAAAAATCTGTGGAGGGAGAACCATCTCCTCTCCAACACAGACGTCCTTTTGCTGCTATTCTTCCATCTTTTGTGTCTGTCGTGTCTAAACGTCAATGAGTTTTCCTCTACGAAAAGATCGACACGCGCACGTGCGACGGGGGTGGCGGGGGAGGGGCGAGTGAACTTTTTGGTCTTGGTGTTGCCGATGTTCACCATGGTTTTAACTCCATCAGCGGAGGCAGGAGGTAGTGGAGGGATTGGAAAGGCACATATTAGTTGGGGGTTGGAGGGACATTTAATGCCAAGTAAATCGTAACGCGAGGTAACTGTGATCTGGGGATCTGCTTGATTCCCTTTTCTTGGTGCTACTGAAGTTGTGGTAAGTAGGGTGGGGTGCGGGCGGTGGTGGCGGTTTGGTGGTGCAAAGTGGTGGGAGTGGCTGAACCATTGAGAGAAATCTGACTAGTTTCTTGCTTATTCTACTTCGCAAAGAAGTATGTGTGTTTGTTGATGCCCAGCGTAAGGTAGTTGATGTTTATTCGTTTAATTTTTCCCTCTGCATCATTAAACTCGTTGGGGTCATTTGGCTCTTTATTCACATTTTT